TATCAGCCTCTCTGGGTTAATACTCAAGTGCCAGAAATTTTTAAATTTCCCCAACTCATTTCAAGGCACAGCTGCTGTTTTTGAAAAAAAAAACACCACACCACTGGTTTTGAAAAATGTCATACATGCTAGGCTAAAATGCTACAATGCCCACCCCATGACATAATTAAGCTCACATCTACTCCTTTTCTCCCTTTTGGAGTTTGTCTTTCTCAGAGATTTCCTAATTATAAATTTTCAAGAGGACTCAGCACAACAAGGCATTTAAAATCATCTCTTGCAGTTCTACATTGGCAAACAAAAAATCTATGAATAATACTTTCTAGATAAGAATTTAGCTTGGTATTTTGTCAAGCAACAAGTCATGTTAATTTAAAAGAGAAATCTCGTGTCTGTCTCATTTAATAAATGCTCATGAAGTTTTCTACTATCTTGTGACACACGGTGTTCCTGTCATCCACTTGGCTTCATTGCAGCTGCTTCCTGCAAAACGTAAAAGCATAACTTTAACAAGTTTCATTTCCTGTAAAGATAAAAAGCACAGAGAGTTGTAGATAGGTAACTGGGTAGTTCCTCTACTGTAAAAGCTGGTAAAAAATGGTGCCAGATGATTACATGACAATAGCTTTTTGACTCTTTAAGGTCTTGGACTTTTCCTGGATTTGACTTGGTCCATTGAGTAATATTGCTCTTGTCATTGATGCTGTAGCTTACAAATTTGTTTCTACTGTATTAGTCATAATGATTGTTTTTATCAAAGCTGAGCAATATTGGTTTGAAGCTCAAGATCACCGCAAAAGATACAATTGTTAACAATTAGAATGTTAATAAGTTCGACATGGACTGACTGATCCTTAGCTCTAACTGAATATAGGTGTCAAAACTTTGCATTGTCTTCTTGACTACTTGCTAATAAGATGCAGACTAATGGATCTGAATACTATAAACTCCAGGAATACAGATATTTCATTCTGTTATTCACTGCAATATCCTCTGCCTTCAGAATAGTATTACATGGTAGGTACTCAATAAATATTTGTCAATTTGCTAAATGAATGTGGCTTTGCACTTACCTGTGCCTGCAGGTTTTAGACCACCCACTGTTCAGAGTAATCCCTTGCCCTGATTCTCATGCAAACCCCTGAATTGTCTTTTTTCCTTTCCTTTCCAGTCAGATATCTCAAAAGCAGAGTCTGTTTTCAACAACGGTTTGAATGCTTTCACATCACGGTTCATTTTCCAGTGTGTTACAGTCAGTCTTCTCTCACTAATACTTGCTCAGACTGTTTCTCCTAATGCTGGCAATGACCTCCGAATTGCAGAATCCAGTGGTCTCTACTCAGTTCTTCTTCAGGCTTTCTCAACATCACTGCCCTGCTGCTTCCTAGTCCTTTGAGACACTTACTCTTCCTCAGATTCCAAGACAGGACGCTCTCTACGTCCCTCTCCTACTTTCTTAGATGTCTTCAGTTTCATCTTCACTAGTTGCACTTTCTCTAGCAGCTAAATGGGGACATCCTGAACAAAGTGTCACTGTCCCCTGGGAACTCTCGTCCATCCCTGTAACTCAATCTAGCAACTTTAGGTGCCTCATTCATGGAACTCATTTTTAATTCTGCTCTTTTTTTCCTGATTTCCAAGCCTCATATCCAGGTGTGTGAGAAGTATTTAGTGGCAAATCTCCCTCCTACAGTCGAAAACCATAGAACTAACCTGCTCAGAGCTTGTGATCCAATCCCTGTGCCTGTGGCACTATTGGGAGGTGATTGAACCATTAGGAGGTGGGGTCCAGTGGATGGAAGTAGGTCACTGGAGATGGGCACTTGAAGGGCATACTGGCATCATGGACTCTACATCTCTACCACGAGGTGAAGGTCATGCCATAAGGTCAATAGTTTTCCTGCACCACATGCTCCCCACCATGATATCCTGCCTCAGCACAGGCCCAAAACACAATGGAATAGTCAACTGTGAATTGAAACCCCAGAGACCACGACCCTCCCCCACCCCCAGCTTTCTTCCTTTTAAGTTGATTTTCTTAGGTATTTTGTCAAAAGGACAAAAAGCTGATTAGCACACCATAGTAGATGCCCTAATAGATATTTTATTAATGCCTCTTTTTCCACTCAGATAGAAATTCTAAGGAGATAATTTGCCTGTTTTGTTTCTCACCATTTTGTGTTGCAGAATAGTCTATGATCAGTAAATATGTTTCAATAAATGAATTAATGATTTTTCAATGATCAGTTCTGTCTCCCTTTAGGATTTTGTTCTCACTTGCAGCAGAATGCATACTTTTTTACTGGAAATTACAAGGGAAGAGATGAGTAGGGACCAACATGACTCCATAGGATAATCCTAAATTTGCTTTGACTTTTGCATTACATGATCCTACCATATTCATTTTATATTGCTTGGTTCTGTAGTTCAAAACACATAATCAGGTTTGAATTAAAGGGAGTCTCTTTAAGAATTGCAGACTTAACCTAGAAAAAATTCATATTTGAGCCCCCATGAGCATTCTAAGTTATTCACCAAGAATTTAAAACAAGTCGAATTCCATACATATTTCACATGAAATTAATCTGAAGCGACCATTTCTGTGTATTGGATCTTTGAGAATTTCACTTCGACTAGTGAAATTAAAATTTGATTTTCCTGGATTTTAACAGATGACAATACTTCCTACTGGTAGATATGGACAAGGCTTGAGTATGAAGCCACATTTTGAATAACAAGAAGAGAAAATACATATCTTACTCAGTTTCTGCAGCTCCAACAGTGATTTTCAACACTTACAACAACAACCCAAAAAAGAAAAAAAAATAAGCAGAAAAAGGAAATACCGTAAGTAGCCAGTTATAGTGAACTAGTAGAATATCGAATTATTCTTGATTGACTCTTGAATATTAAGTTGCAATTTAAAAATGATGCTTGCGAGAATAAAGAAAATTATGACAGATTGTTGCACATAAAAAGTAGATTATACTGTAACTACTAAAGTGATTGTAACTTGCCTAAATTGTGTAGAACTATGAACTATGCTGATCAGCCACTTAGTTTACTAGGGACTATCTTGGTTTTAACATTGAAAATCCTACATCCTAGGAAATCCTTCAGGCCTGGATAAACTGGGATGGATGATTACCTTATTGTGAATAAGGATTATTAAAAAAACAAGGAAAATTGAAAGGATGTAAGTCAATCTCCTAATCAGTGGGTGCAATTTATTTTTGAAATGTTTTATGGTTGTAAAATTCTTTATACAAAAGAAAAATGGAAAGGAAAAACTAAAGCTATAGAATACATCTTTCACTTTGGGACAAAGCCTATTTTCTATTGGCCAGTGTCATTTG